CGAGCACCCCGAGCTGTGACAGCCCCGCCGCAGCAGCACGACACCCTCCGACACTTTCTCTTGCAATGGGCTTCTTCCAAGCAGCCAGCAGTGCTGGACCACAGGGCTCTTTGCTGAGCCCATCTTGCCTTCGCAGGGGCGTCCCCCGAGCAGAGGGGACCAGCCCATACCCCAAGGAACTTCCTTGCCCCACGAAACTGCTCGCTCCAGCCATCACCAGGCCACGCAAAGCAGCTTTTCTGGTTGCAGGCGGGTTTTAAGCCCTGGGCCACGGCACAATACGCAGGCAGCATACGCTTGCTGGTCTGCCAACCTCATCCCTGCCCTGTTCCTCCTGGAGAGCTGCTAGATCATACCATGCAACACACACCACAAAGGTTTTGCAGGAAGTTTTTAATTCAGAATTGGACAAGTACGTAAGTATCTATTTAAACTGAAGTGCAGCCTTTGCTCTGGTCCAGGCTGGATTAGACTCAGACTTTCTTTTCAGGGTTCAGTGTGCCAAGGAAGTGGGGAGGAAACTGGTCCCGGGTGGTTTGCGACCTTTGGGCATCAGCAAGACACATCAATCTTCCCATGGGAGGACTTGCCACCTGCCCAGAGATGCCCCGGCAGCCCCAGCCCACTGCCCACGGGGGCTCCTCCAGGCCAGCACCAGGACCCTGCTCGTCCCTGAGCACCCAGAGACAGCTGAACGCTGTGCAGCCACAGCACTTATTTCTGTGCGACAGCAACAAGCTGCAGACAGTGGTTTTGGGAGATCGCTGGTGTCCAAGTGCCACCTCTTCTCCATCCCTGAGCAGGGCTGGGGGCACCGACTCCCCTGCACTGCTGCCCATAGCAGGGCCGAGTGCCAGGCAGAGCCCGTGGGGCTCAAGCCCTGGGGAAGGAGGTCAGCAGCCACCTCCACCTTTAACAGCTGAAGGCACCAGGATGCCCCGAAACATGTGGGGGAGACTCTGTCCCCCATCACAGGCTGCTTGCCATGAGGTCTGTGGGCCAGTACCGGTCATCCATGTACTGGTTGCTGTCTGTGGTGGGGTCTGTGACAGGGCTGGGGGGCCGGGGGGGCAGGCTGTGGGCTAGCTCTGTCTCCCACTGCACCTCCACCAGTCTGTACAGCTCCATGGCCGTCCGAGCATCCTCCACCGACGAGTGCCCTTTGCAGCCAACCTGGGCAAAGGGGGAAAAGCCTCGTTATATAAAAGTGGGCAGCAAAAATCCCACAGGTCATGTCTGCTTGCTTGGAAGGACACAAATGCTGGGGATTTTGGAGATGGCAAAGGTTCGATGCAGCTGAGGAGACGCAAGCATCTCTTGAGCACTTTCTGGAGGGCACAGGTCCTGTCTCTGCTTTACTGAGGTGCTTAACGGGCAGCTTGGGAAGTCCTTGGCTCCCCCAGCTTGATCATAGCTGGGAGCACAGGCTGAATAAGGTTCATCTCCAATCTCACAGAGAACACCCATGGAGATGGGGAGACCAGGCTGATCACACAGGCTTGCAGCAAACCCAGGAACTGCTCCCCATCTCAAGGTTCCTGGTACTTACCTGGATCTTTTTCTGGAGCAGGTGCCTGGCCAAGCTCTTGAGCGAGACACTGGCCCTGCTGGGCAGCCCTGCCCTCTGGTTCAGCACAGGGATCCGGCTGGTGTCTCGGGTCCTGTCTTTTGGGTGGAAGTACTTCAGGGCTTGGAAGTCATTGTGGATGGCGTGTCCTACCACAATCTTGTCTTTCAAGATCTTCAGGATCTGGAAGCGTCAGAAGGAGTTAGACAGGCGGTGCAGCAAAAGAAAGACCAATTAAGCATAAAATAAAACATTTTGTGTTAAATTCAGTTCCTTCAGTTCTAATTTTGTTTAGGTTCACAGAATGGAGCAGTAACAAGCAAACCAACCCACCGTGTGGCTTTGGAGGCTCCCCAACCTGTGCTACTGTCTCTGCCTCACAGCAGCTCAGCATGGGCTACCAAATATGCCAATTTGTGGCTGGCAGATAACACACAGCCTTTTTTTTTTTCCTTCCAATTTCTCTCTTTTTCCTTACCTCCGCCTGGGCAGCCTTAAAAGGAATTGCATTCTTCATGTGCTGCTTGGTGATGCCACTCCAGCGCGTCCGATAGTCCACGATGGGGAGCTCGGGCTGGATGTACTTGTCGTAGATGACATCCCCCTCGTAGTTCACCACAGAGCACCGTGCCAGCTCGCTCAGCCTGCCCTGAGGACCAGTGCCCACCATCTCGCAGTCAATGGCCACGTACTTGGCTGGGCGCAGGAGCGGGGACGTCGTCCGCACCCTCTTGGAGCTGCTGCTCCCCTGGGACAGCAGCACAGAGTGATGCCTGGCTATGCTGTCTGGAGAGGCGGATGGGGACAGGGATGGGGAGGTGACCTCTTTGGGCTTGGGGACCTTCCTG